AGTTCTTAGGGGAAATATATATTTAGAGGCTTAGGAAATTGCACCAAAGACTTTTCCATGTTTTCAGCAATGGGAGGCGTAGCCGCCCAGTATGTTAAATTTTGCAAAAGGAACTATGGGACTGGCTTTGTCCCCGCCCTACCTTTCCAAACAGAGCCAGGATACTGGAGCCATTGGAAATGGTACCACTCTCCAGCTGTTCTTACTGGCTGGCTCAGAGTTCACCTCATCTCCTTAGCATAATGACTATGTCGTGGGATTTGACAGTTGCAACATCAAATCTGCCTCAAAGCCTCTTTCTCGCTTCCAGGGAGTTCCACTGGTCCTCCCTTAGTTTGGTGTAAGATCTAACCACAACTTTAATTACTAGTCTTCTTGAGAGAACCAGTCTCTCACACTATGACTCCATCCACTCAGCTATGAATGAACAATCCAGCTCTTTACAATTAACTCCCCAAACAAGTGTGACACCCCAAAGTGTGAGTAAAATAACTACAGGCCTTAGACATCACGACCTGGGTATGCCACTCCTATTTTTCTTCTTACAAAATATTTTACACTCATCCCAGCCTGAGTTAAACTTTCTCTGGTACCTTCTTCTGACTCATAAGAACATCCACCTAATCCACTGTAGACAATCAAGGACTCTCTTTAGCTGCGTCAAGATTGCTTAGCAGCAGAAATTAGTTTATTAAAAACAACTTTCTGTGAGGAAAGCACCCCCACATTTTCCTGTGGATTCATGTCTTCTTCTTGACTGACTTGCTAACTGAATTACTCAAAAGATTTTCTCCTTATATGTGCTGGCGATACCTAGGGGGAGAAATGGCTGGGAAAGACGTGATATTAGAAAGTGAATGAGACACCTTGAAGCACCTAGGAGAACCATGTTTCGTCTAACCAGAAACCTCTAATTAGGAAGTCTGAGCAATCAACATGGCTGTGTGTCCTTTACCTTGCTGTCAGGTTTCATTATGGGCTCCAGCAGAATGCGGGAGAAAGCTCAGAGAGGAAGAAAGGGTAAGTGTCAGGCTGGGGATGGGGCCAATCAACCCAGAAAGGATGTAGACTTGAGTTATTACCTAGCGACCTGAGGCACCACGGTTGCCAAACTTATTTTGTTGAACTATCCAGGCTAAGTTATGCTCATGGGGCCAGGAAAAATAGCAAAGCTACCTATGTAAGGGGAAGGAGGAGGGAATCATTGGAATTTACTGAATGATTATTATATGTTAGCCACTGTTTTAAGCATTTTTCTGTACACAAAAATAAATTAGCTTAACATTGTCTTTAAAAATGAGAAACTAAGACTTTGAGAGGTTAAATTATGAATACAGTTGCCTATAAGTAGCAGGGAAGGGATTTGAATCCTGGCAGCCAACACCCCTATCCACTGTACTACTTGGGCCCTTAGTCTCAGATGAGCATGACCATGGCAAGGGGTGGGGGGACTGTGGCTCTGTGTTGTAAGGTCTTCCCATTTTTCAAGGAAGCCAGTTGGTATGGATTCATTAACAAGAAATTTCTGAATTTTTGAACTGTTGACAATATCTTTTTTTTTTTTAGTTTTTGTAAAACTCATGTCAGGTCAGCAACTGAATACATGTGAATGTAATCTAGCATCACTTCCTTCTTGCCAGTCGTTGGGCCATTGCTCAACCTGTAACTCTGTGTACATATAGGATAAACCTGGATCAAAGAAGTAGAAATGTAAACAGGAACCCATACTAGTCCCATTGCAGTAAATGCCTGTTAAGGAAGCTTTGAAATATTGGGTCAACAGAGGGAGTTTGACTGCCTAGGCTTTACTAGTTTCACCAGAAACCCAGAGAAGTGGATTTCAGATCTGTAATGGAGCAGAGTCTAGACATGTGTGTTTAGGCCAAAGTACTATAGTCCCCTTAGGGTTCAAAGAGCTCAGTGGGCTACAAGTGAGCTGAGATACTGGCCCTTTCAGCTATCAGGGGACTGAGAGTTTCTGTGGTCCTGAAGACCCTTGGTTAATCATTTCTGGCCATAAGTAACTCCTCCTTTCAGTTGACCCCATGTTGCAGAGATTATAATTTTTAAAAATGTGTGACATGAAGTTAAAATCATTGAGAGGCACTATTGTGGTCTGTTTCTTAAGTAATATGGATTGCCCTAATTTAACATCAAGCTTTTTTCTTCTTGAATGGGATCTACATCTTTACATGAATCTTTTAATGGAAATTTTGTCTTCTTTTGTTCACCTGGATAGTAGGATATTCTCCTTCTGGCTCTTTCTTCCCCCCTCATCCATGGATCTTTTTATTAAAAACAAATAATTTCATTAATTCATTCCAGTTTTCTTCCTGACTTCCAATCTCACATAGCAATGTGGTATTATTTGGTATCAATTAACTCAATAATTATTTGTTGTTTGTTTGGAAATGGGAGAGGGTATGGGGCCTACTGGAGAAATCAGCTTGTCTTGGTCTGCCTTGGAAATTTTTAGCACTGAAAGTCCCATGCACTCCCTCTTCAGTCTTATCTAACTGAATTATCTAACCAGGATAATTGGTACCCCAGGCCTAGCAAGCAAGTTGTTGTCACAGACAAAATAAAAGACCCTTCTTAATATGGACATGTAAGTATCAAGAAAACCAGGGGAGAGTTTCACACAAAATAACCTCAATTTTTAGTAAAAAAAAAAAGTTGATGTAAGTTCACCCGCTGGAGAGGAAGGTAAGCAGATGGTAGAGAAACTGTCACTCAGTGAACCCACCTCTATATCCTAAATAACAAACCTAGCTTAAGTTACAGTTACTCACTCAAAATTTGGGGAAATGTGGCTATTATGAGTGGAGGGAGGACCCTAATGTGAACCGTGGCCTCAAAGACCCAGTAGTGGTCAGGCATCACCAGGCTGTAAGAGAAGCCAGGAGTAGGGCAAGTGAAACTCAGTGCATGACCACATAACCTGCCATAAGTGTGTAAGTGTATGTGCCCCGAGCCTTTATCTGCAGAGTGAAGGGGTACACCAAGCATGTCTCTGAAGTTTCATGTGAATTCTAGAATCCTAGCACTTTTTTTTTATAAGGGGAGAGAAACAGCTGCAAACACACACACACACACACACACACACACACACACACACACACAAATGTTAGAAGTCTTTTGTATGTGAAACCGAGGGAAGTGGCCAAGGGTCTCTGAAAAAATAAATAGAATTATGCCTGGTATGGAACAAGCCCTGACACACTGAAAACCAGGCAGCACCCAGGAAGTTTTTGATGAAGGACGTCTTACTCCTCACATCAGAAATGAACTTCTCATTGTATACCTTTCCAATTTAGAAAATATCACTACACAGAAAGAGAGCTTGCAGACTGGGAATTTTTTGAACAGAACAGTATTTCATTTGATCCTCACACAATCCTGGGAAGCAGACGGTAGAGTTTCTATTCTCCCCATTTTACAGATGAGGAAATGAAGTTTCTAAGTAGGTAAGGTCACAAAGCCGAGTTCTGGATTCTGTTCTCATGAATCTTTGTAACACCTATAGAGAATGGGGGTCAGTGGTGTCTTATCACTATGCAGCCATTTCAGAAGTTGGAGCCCTGGGCAAAAGCGTCAAGAACCCACGGGACATACCGTGCCCTCCCCAGGCTAGAGCCCAGGACTGCGGTTGAGAAGACCATGGTTGGCCTGCTCTGGAGAGGATTTACTCTTAGAGTCACCAAAGAGATGTCACTGTAGATTTGAGGGTATGTTGACCAGTCTATATGCTTACCCTCTGCTGGGGCTGTGTCCTTGTGGTCATGGTCACACCTCTAATTAGGTCACTGCTGGAGTCCCTCTTCCTAAATGTCTGAGTGCCACAGCCGTGGTGTTCTGGAAGGCTGTGGGATTGAAATGATCTGAGTCTGTGAGGATTCCTGCTTTTCTGTTGTGTGTTGATAGCCCGATGCTATTATACCGCTTTTGCTACTGTTTAGAATTATTTTGTCCATTATAGATTATTATTCCAAAAATAGACTGGTAATACATTCTTGTACATCTGAATTTAATTAAGAACCTTCTTCTCAATGACACGGATGTGATTTTACTGCTTCTGGCCAGACCAGACATAGGTGTCTGAAGACAGATATCCAAATTTTGGGCTAACTTCTCTGATCTTTTTAACCTAGGGCCCCTGCTCTGAGATGATGACTTATGACTTTGACATGCTGTCTTCAACCACTCTCTGGTCACTAGGGAGTATGTGAAACATCACAGGAACATTGCTACCAGGAGTCAAGGCTGTCCCTTCCAACCTCACTAGGATCCTCATGGGATTCAGATAATTACTTAATGTTCAGTATTCTGAGAACTGTCAGAATCACCCTGGCCTCACCAAATCATTTCATTACTTGAGAGGGTTGGGGATGGGATGAAATCTTCTGTACTGTTGTCCATGTCTGATGTGTTTGGCCCATTGAGACTCCAAGGGCATTGTGGACTCTACTTTGTTTCCCGACAGGATTAATGCCAGAAACTCACGTACTATTTTGTTTTGTGGCTTCTCTGCTTAGCCATACCTCACCCATGGAGCTGATGCTTCCTAAGCATTGAGAGAAGTTGCAGGAGAACTGACAATTCCTACCAAGTACACATCCCATCCCCTGTGCCCCTCTCCATGTGTGAAGGCCACACTGCCTGCCCCTGGGGCAGTAAAAGAGTACATCCTTTAATCACCTTGCAGGTGTTCGCCCCAGCTGCTGGCTCAATTCCCAGGGAATGCTGCCTCTTAGGTACATGTCATAATTTGGAGATTATGCTTCTCTTCATATTCTGGGGTTCACACCATTTAGAGCAGACAGTTGGAAGTGCAGAGATGATGGGATGGCAGTGCCCACCCATTCATTTCTACCTCCATCCAGTATTCCATTACATAGTAATTAAGTGCCCTGTGTGTGCCATGTGCAAAGCTGGGTACCAGGCATTCAGTGGTGAACAGAGAAGTGGTGGTCTCAAGGAGGGGTGTCTGTTTCAACAGAATGGCCCAAACATTTCATCTGCTTTTGCTTCAGGTATGTTAGTTACTGCCAAGAGTTTGTGGGTGTTTAGGAGCCTTGTTAAATTTGGAAAGCTCTGGCTCCTCTCTGCTCCCTATGGAGCCTGGCCCTTGGCGTTGGCCTTGAATGCGAAGCTGGGTCCTCGGAGTGCCACTGTCCGCACTCTCCAGATGAGTATTGTGCACAGGGAGGGGCCAGGGCGTGGGGCCCCCTGAAGGCTGTGTCATCCCCGGCTCCAGCCACAGAGGTTACATCACGAAGGGAAGCTGAGCTGTCAGCATGTTGCTAGGCTGTGGTTATTTATTTTTATAAATGAGACTTGTGCTTAATTTAGAAATCTGCTTTTGCTTTTTCTTTCTTTTTTCCAGCATCATCTGGCTGTCTGGCACCACCAGAGAACTGCATTTTTGACCCAACAAGAGCTCGTGGGTGGATGGGGGCGGGAAGGAGGCTGGGGAAAGGACTGATGCCAGCCTGCTGTCTTATAGGGAGCTAGACACACGTGGCCACACCATTAGCCTCCTGTTCAGCTTCTAGACGGGTTTCATCTGGGACACCTACATAGTCCTCGCTTGGAACAACACCGTATAAAGCTGCCCTGGTGCTAACTCCTCTTCTGAATAACCACACACCGAATACAGAAGAACAGAAGATGGGGCCACAAAAAAAGAAGACCACAGTCAGGTGCCAGAAAGAGGTGACACCTAGATTTTCAGTCCTTTGGATGCAGCTATTTTTTTTTAAAAAAATTTAAGTGTATTTGTTTAGAGAGAAAGAGAGAGACAGACAGAGAGAAAGTGTGGGGGAGGGGCAGAGAAAGAGGGAGAGAGAATCCCAAGCAGGCTCCGCACTGACAATACAGAGCCTGATGCGGGGTTCAAACTCACAAACTATGAGACTATGACCTGAGCTGAAACCAAGAGTCAGTTGCTTAACCAACTAAGCTACCCAGGTGCCCCTCTATTTTAACAGAGCCACTTTACTGCGGCTATTTGACATGAAGGTATTTAGATTTGGCCTAAATGTTCAGCCAATAAATGTTTTTATTTTTTTTTATTTTTTTATTTTTATTTTTTAAAAATTTTTTTTAATGTTTTATTTCTTTCTAGGAGAGAGAGAGAGAGAGAGCATGAGCAGGGGAGGGTCAGAGAGAGAGTGTGATTCATTCTTTGAAATAGGCTCCAGGCTCTGAGCTGGCAGTCAGCACAGAGCCCGACACGGGGCTCGAACCCATGAACCGCGAGATCATGACCTAAGCGAAAGTCGGATGCTTAACCGACTAAGTCACATAGGTGCCACAAATGTTTTTATTTTTAAAAATAAATGATGAGTAAATGGACATTTTATACTCCTTCTATGAACTTCCCTCCAGCCCAAATCTTTCCCTTAGCCCCATTCCCACTTGTGGGCATTAAGGTGTATGGATTAGGAACAGGTAAGGGGAAATGATGGTAGAAATTCAAAATGGGAGGAACACTGAGGATCAGATAATGATCAAGAATGAAGCAATGTCAGGAATGAGGTGCTTGTCAGAACTGGTAGTAGGTCAGGAGGAAAGAACGGTCAAGAGGCCTCTAAAGTCAATAAAAGTGTCACACTGAGATGGAGCAGAAGTCACAAGTGGTATGAGGGGTGGGAAATTGTTATAAACATAAAATACAGTGAGGGGTGGGAAATTGTTATAAACATAAAATACAGTGAGTACATTTTGGCTCACCTGTATGAAAAGAGTTGCATGAGAATACAGTGCACTTAGGATTCAGAATCACTCATTTTAGCTCTTCCACAGGCAGTGTCTGACTCATAAATGTCTACACATTTCACTCCAGGGCTTGTTTGAGCCTCAGTTTCCCCACATAAAATACAGGTGATTATGTCTACCCTTCATCCGTCCCCACCGTTTGCTCTCCCTGCAGGGGACATGCTAAGGATGAACCAGCAGCTCGTAAACCGCTTCCAGCCACTTGGCGAAGGGTGCCTCTATAAACAGTGGTTATTAGTGTATATGAGTGCTCTGTGAGTCAAGGATGTTGGAGTTGGGCAAGTGTAGTCACCTCTGCCTGATGATTCACGCAAACACAGTGATGCCTCTAGCTGGAATGTATAGTGTTTGAGATGACTTTGTTCTTTCCACCGCAGAGAACTTCATCTTTACCCAAATGCTAAACCCTGAGGAGTTTGCACACGGGCACTAGGGGAATAGCTGTGACAAGAAGTGAAAGGAATCTGCCCTTCCTGCCCACCATCTACAGTTATAGTACAAAGAACTACAGCAGCATATCTGTGCCCAATCATCCACTCCTCTTTGCCGCCAAAGAAACTCTTCCCAATTCTTCCACCATTTGTCAAACTTGCCCAAGTGCACCAGAGGCAGTTCAAGTAATTGAAGGTGGAGGGAAGAGAATACTGCATTCTGTGTCGACCTTTTGCATCACAAGGTGAAGCCTCACTGATTTGATCCTGGAATGTTGTTCAGAATTGGTGCAAGGAGGTGGCAGGGGCTAGGGCCTCAGCTTCTAGATGTCTGACCTGAAGTCGCCATGGCTGGACAGGGACCCTCCGCTGAGCCCTCAGAACGGAGGCGGAAGGACACGCTGCAGCTTGCCTGTCCTAGCCCTACAACCAAGTGCATACCATCACCAACCCTATTCTAAGAGCGAAGGCGCCATCACCTTTGTTCCTGCCACTTTCTTTGTTATATCTCACCATGTCCCTGCCTTCAGATTTCTTATGGATTCCTTTCTCAGGCATCATGTTTTGATTCCCTCCTCACATTTATTTCCAATTGCCAAGAACAACTCTGTTCCGGCAGGAAGATATTATTTGGCTTACAGGAGAGCAGGCAGTGGCTTCTCTCCACTAGCATTCTTTGAATTTACATGGGAATTTATTCTGGGAACTGCTCAGCGTCTCCCTCAAGTCTCTCCCTCACCATCAAATGTTTCCATCACAGAGTAGCTTTGCTTACATTGTTTTTAACTGGGTAATGATAAGAGCTTTTCTTTTGAAGCCTGGGTGTAGGGCTCAGAGCACCTCCCCACACTATTACTCCCCAAGGACCTTGGCTGAGCCCACACTGAATATTACAGTGGGTATTGTTACCGTTGTTACAGACCCGAGCATTGTCCCCAGTGTTTGCTTGTGTGATAAACCTCCAGTCCTCTTCCAGAATTGTTAGTTTTTCCACCCTTGGGCATTGAGTTCACCCTTTAGGGTGGCCCACCCTGAAGGACTGACAAGCATTCCCTGATTTAGCTGGACAGATTGGGTCCAACTGACATGTGCTTCTCTGTTGACATCACAGGGGCTTTAATAACACATGCTAAGCACAGTGGCTGGTGTTCTCACTGGTCCCGAGCCACGTTTGGGGGAAGTTACATTGCTCCAACCACCATTTTGTACAGTGATTCAGGAATTTGTTGTTTGACACAAAGGTAAAATGAAGAGATAGGAGGGTGGTACCTGTACCACCCAGGCAGCAAGCAGTCCTGCTTGGCCCATCCCCAGAGGATGTTCTGAGAAGTCCTTGAGAATGTCCTGGTCTTGGACTTGGTCTGCCTGGACCTATTGCAAACAATAGGTCTAGTTTCCTCTAGACAAAAGGACATTCAGCCCTCCCAGAGCAGAATACCACACTTGGGGGTGAGGGAAAGACCCCTTTGAGAGATCGATCAGAAAGATCACTGTCTCAGGGCCCAAAACCAGTGTAATAGGCCAAGGCTGAGCAATGAGCATCCCTTCCATTTGAAGGTGCTTCCAGATACATGAGTGGACTCCTCTGAGTCTGCCTACAACTCTTGGAGGTGAATTGGACAGGTGGTATTACTCCAATTTTACCAATGGGGAAACTAAGTTCTATTAGTTCCCCCTAAGACAGTGGCCCAGCTCATTCCTCCCAGGAGCACCTCGTATGTGGGGGCTTTCAACACAGCCAGGTTCCTGTTGAGAGTGCATTTCTTTGTTGGGCACTGCTCCTTTTCAGCCACTGGACACGAAGACTGAGACTCTGGTAGTCATAAATTTTAGAGTTTTTCAGGTTGGAAGAATCTCTTCTCCTACATACCCAGGAGGGCCCCTGCATCAGGACTGCAGGCGTAAGAAATAGAGAACTGAGCTCACTGTCCTTATTTTGTTTTAAGTTTATCCACTTATTTTGAGAGAGAGAGAAGAAGAAGAAGAAGCAGGGGAGGAGCAGAGAGAGAAGGCGAGAGAGGATCCCAAGCAGGCTCTGTGCTGTCAGTGCAGACTCAATGTAGGGCTTGATTCCACCAACTGCATGATCATGGCCTTAGCAGAAACCAGGAGTCAGACACTCAACCTGCTGATCCACGCAGGCTCCCCACCCCTCAATGTCTTTAATAATGGTGCCAAGTTGAAGTAAGCCTTGAGTTTCCCTAATTCTATCTTGTCTTGCTGACCATGTGGACTTCTAGGCAGATGCGGGGTCAGCTACTCCTTACTAGCTTTTAGGCCTGGTGAGTAGTGCCGTAAATGCTCACTTTCATTGAGCATTCCTGGATTGACTTGCTCCATAAATTCCTCTTCAGGCAGCAGCAGGAGAATCTCTGGAGCACAGGAAGGTAGAGCCAGAACTCCCTGGAATGGGAGCAGCTTCTTGGATGCCACTTCCCCATCAGTTCTCCTGGGTTTCAGCAGACAGCACATTGGACTTGCAACCGAGCAGACACATGAAAGCAAACGTGCGCTTCTAACATTTCATAACCTGCCTCCCACAAAACAGAAGGCACTCTTCCCCTCGCATTATTCTCTGCCTTGTTCTTGACATTTTTAATGTGCTGAGTCTACAGCCGACTTTACATTCCCGACACCTCCCACTTGAACTGGCTCCTGGTCCCTCCAGGCCTGAGGATCCTGGTCACGTGCTCCACCCCACAGAACACTCGGCTCTCTTTCGAGCCAGGCTACACTCCTCACCTTGACATATAGGCCCTGCTGTTTCTTTTCCTCTTCTGCTCCAATAAATCAGGCTCAGTCAAAATTCACTGTTCTCGGGCAGGGTTTGGAGAAACCACTGCTGGGAGAAGGGGTTTTTTTGTGTCTGCTGGGTGAAAGCAAGTATTGCCTTTCTTTATTTAAAAATTTTAAAGTTTATTTATTTATTTTGAGAGAGGACAGCACAAGTGGGGGAGGGACAGAGAGAGAGAGGAAGAGAGAGAAAATCTCAAGCAGGCTCCGCACTGTCAATGCATAGCCTGACACAGGGCTTGAACTCACAAAACCTCAAGATCATGACCTGAGCTGAAACCAAGAGCCAGATGCTTACCCGACTGAGCCATCCAGATGCATGGCAAGCATTGCCTTTCTGCTCCTGTTCCCTGCCTTTGCAACAGTGTGAAACCCTAAGGAGAAAGCCTAGGCTCCGTTTCCCTTGTCTGCACAGAGCTGAGTGTGTCTTTGAAGTTCTTCAGCTTAAACAGGAAAATGCCATACTGTCCCTTTCCTGGGTCCTTCTTTGTTTATGGCCCAGGATGAGCGGCTGGTCCGGCTCATTCCCCTCAGGGCATCTGGCATGGAATGGAGTCATCCTGAGGGACACAGAACTCTGACCAGTTCTGTCCCTCCCTTCCCCTTATTTCACATTCTGTGGTTTGGGTGTAATCCAGTTTGGGAATGAAGGTAAGTGTCAGATGCTAAGCAACAGCTACAGGTACCTATGAAAGGGATGATAAAGTCATCTGGAAGAGAGAAAGGGGAAAGGAAAAGTAAGATAGCACATAGGAGAGGGAAAGAAGGGAAAGGAAGTAAAAGAGTACAAAGTGATAGTAATGCGGCAAAGTGGCTGAGTGCCACCTGCAATGCTTTGAGTGGCACAAATGCCATCTGTCACCCATCCCTGTTTCAAAATGGCATCAGGAACTAGCAAGCACATATACTTGCTCCAGAGAGGACGCACAGCTCAGATTTTAGAACCATGTTGCCTCCCAATGTCCCCTGCAGTTGGAACAAGCAAAACCCTAATTATCTGACCATGCGTGGTCTTGATCAAAGGATTCTAAAATGCTTTGTAAAAAACATAAATCATGTGTGTAAATATAAGATGGTAATTTTTTGCTCCTACTCACCCTAAAACCTGAACACACACTATTAGCACAACCCTTTAAGATGCTGGTTTAGAAAAGTTTTAAGGGAAGAGACTATGAAAGTTGGATTGAGCATATTGCCCGGCACACAGTAGGTGTTCAATAAGCATCTGAAATTGTATTAGTGAACAAATGAATAAGAGAAATATAATAAACAATAAACATACTTGAATATTTAACATTACTTACATTTTAAAATACTTCATGGCTTTTGTTCTGGGCCCCATGGATACAAAGATGAGCGAGCTTTCCACACATGTAGTCACTAGGCGACCTGTGATCACATGCATACACACTAGTGCCCATGCAAGGAAAACAGGGACAAGGCACAGTGATAGAAGTGGTGAAACCCTGTCCAGGAGCTGTGTAGGTCTCGCCAGGCCCTGGAAGACAGAACAGAAGGACAATGAAGATATGAAACAGCTCATTGTGTCAGAGAGCTGCAAAGCCTGGTATGGCTGCTGCAAATGGAAAGGGTGTGTGTGTGTGTAGGAGTGTGGGGGTATAGGGAAAGTAGGGGCCTTGGTGCGAGAAAACACAGACAAGACAGAGAGATTTGAATGGTCACCATAGGGCTCAGAGTGTCCCTTATGTGACCAAACACTGGCAAGAGTAGGTTTCACTTACTTAAATCCTACTGGGGAGCTGAAACTTTATGTATAAACTATTGCTTGGTCTTTGGGGAGTGTGTGGGTGTCTCCATGTCTCCTTAGAGCCTCCAAGCTGATGGGAGAGGAGAATAATCTCTGATGCTTATGTGGTTTCTGGTCTGTATCTCTCTCTGCGGTGAGCTACCTCAGCACAAAGTCTCCCTGGTATCTGAGCAGACTGAGCACAATAGAGCTTTACTGAACATACGCGTGTGTAGATGCATATATGGATGTATAGATTCAGGTAAGGATGGGTAGATGGACAGATGGATAGGTGGACAGGTGGATGTCCAGATGCTCCACCACTCTCTCCTAAGGGGGCAAAAGCCATCATTACCCCTGTACTTGTTTATCATTAGCCTTCCAGTCTCCCACAGGCACAGAGCCCAGAAGAAATCAATCTGAAATGAAAGGAGAAAAAGCTGGAGCCTCCAAAGAACTCATAAAGGAGCCTGGCCAGGGATTATCAGAAATGTGGCCAGTACAGACTCTGAGGCCCGGGAGGAGAAAGGGCTAGAAGGCTGTGCAGACCCTTGGGCTCTTGTGTGCCCAACAGTGCTGGCAGAATGGGCCCAGTCCTGGAACATCATGAACATGTCTGCTACAGAATGACTTGGGGGCCAAAAGATTTGATAAAGCCCGAATCAGAGCTGATAAAAGGCAATTATGTTCCCACACCCTGGGCTTCTGCCACCCTGCGTCTCCCTGGGGATGTACTTGTGGCATTCAGATTTTCTCTCACAAAGGCCTGGAGAGAGAAAAACAGCCACTCAACAACTAATAAATTATCCACCATGTCACTGCTTCTGCTGGCCTCATTCTGACACTTCTCTCCATCTGAATGTAGACAATAATTATCTTCTAATTGCTTAGATAATTCTGTTCATGGAGCTACAGCAATGACAAAAAGCTCTCGTTTGTTATTGCTTGTTCTGAGTGTTGATTCAAGCCAAATTATGCCTTGGTTATACACATGATTCTCTTCTGAAGAGCAGAGCACCCACCCCCCACCCCCCACCCCTACTAAGCAAAGTCTTTGGAGTCTGGGAGGGGTGTCACAGCATATTTCTTGCCTCTGTCTTGGCTCAAGGGCTGTACCTGACTTCTGGGAGGTCACTAACCAGCATTTCCCTGAACAAGGAACCAAAGTCGGGTCCATGTGTAGTTGAGGGCAGCTCTCAAATACAAAATAAGTTCAGGAAGGCAGTAAGTGTATCCAAGTCCCCAGCCCTCTAACAGTGGATATTCCTGGAGTTCTGAACCAGCCTTTGAACCTGCATGCCATTATCTCTTTTTTCCAGAGCACAGCACTGAATGACAGAAAAATATCACAAATTGTTGATTTAAATAGTATTCACTGTTTCATGCTGGATGCAATACAATCTTTGAGAAGACTGTATTATTTCCTGCAATATGAGTATAGATTATGCATTAAGGCACCATGAATATACGGAATATATGGAAATATGAGGGAGCAGTGCAAGTCAGATGCAGCAATGAGTGTGGGTTTTCAGAGCAAGAGTCAAATGGAGAATGCTTGAGAATTTCTCTCAAGCATTTGAGTGTGAGCTGAAGGTCAGGGGGTCAGGCTTGGAGATCTTAGCTGCTGGACTGATTACTTGGTTCATTTGTCCCACTCTATTTATTGAGGACCTATTAAGTGACAAGAACCAAATGAGGCAAAGAGTTTTCAAAAAGAATAAAGCATTGCCTGTGGCTTTGAGAAGCTCATATGCTAATGAGAACTGAAGTATGAATGTACTGTATAAATAATGAGAGTACAGAGTACAACAGCACACAGAAAGGAGGAGTTAATGGAAAGCACTGAGGAAAGACAGATGGACTCAACCTGAGGAGGTGGAACCCCCATTTGAACTGGGCCTGGAAAGGTTGGTGAGCTTCTGAAAGCTTTGCTGAGGGCATTTCAGGCTTGGAAGCTGAAAGAATGAGTCATTAAAAGAATGTGAAAACATACCATGTGACCAAAGAGTATGTGGAGGGAGGCATAGAGTGGGAATGTGGCTGGAAAGAGGTTGGGCTAGTTCTGGAAGGTTCTGAGTATCTTGTGATGAATGTGGGCTTCTACTTCAAAGGCTCTAAGTGGGGAGAGGGCATTAAGAGATTCACTTTGGCCAGTGTGGAGGAGAATCCATGGAAAGGGGGAAGGCAGGAAGCAAAGACAAGTAGGAAAGTGGCAGAATTCGTGCAGCAGAAGCTTCCAGAGACCTATGAGATGGAGGCTACTCCACCCTCATGTTTCTTTCTTTGTCTTTTCAGAGCTTTTGGGGTACTGTTACACAGAGATGTTTTCTTTTCTTTTTTTTTTAATTAAAAATTTTTTAAATGTTTATTAATATCTGAGAGAGAGAGAGAGAGAGAGCGCGCAAGTGAGGGAGGGGCAGAGAGAGAGGAAGACACAGAATCCGAAGCAGGCTCCAGGCTCCCAACAGGGGACTTGAACTCGTGAACTGCAACATCATGACCTGAGCCAAGGTTAGACACTTAACTAACTGAGCCACTCAGGCACCCCCGACAGAGATGTTTTCTTATTTGATTCTCTGCAACTACTTATTCTGGAAACCTGCTCCCACATTTTTCTTGGGCCTCAAGATCTACCTTCTATTTTCACAATGTCAGGGTGTATGCTATTTTTCATCCTTGGCCAGGGATGGGAGACCTCAGGGTGCACATTCAGATTAATGGAAGTTTCACATCATAGGTTGGACTCAACTTGAAGTCCCTCTCCTATGATCCACATAATTGTGCTTTATCTTTTCAAGTTGATAATTCCTCACTTGAAGCTGAAGTTATCTGTATAAGGACATGGAATTCTCCTTAGTTTCTCTATCAAGGGTGTTATTAATCCAGGGATCAAGTCCCAGCTGGCCTTCGAACACTAATTTAATGGACATCTGATGTTTACCTTTCACATCATTATTTTGGGTTGTGTTCAAAAGAGTCTGAATATTGTTCAATAGCCAAAGGAAGGTTCACACCATGAGGAAGCCTCAGGTCAGGTGTTCATAGCAATAAGCAGCCCCTACCTGGTGCTGAACTCAGCCAACCTTGAGCTAATGGTGAACGTCTATCCCTCTCCAAAGTATTGCTCATTTGCTTGGAGGACCTCTGATCACTCATACTTCATACACATCCTCATACTTCATACACACAAACACCTGTCTGGGAAAATTGTCATGTTGTTCCGAACAATTTCTGTGAAAGGTGATAACAACGAAAAAGCTCTCCAGGAGGCCTTGAAAAAAGTGCTGCTCTGGACCTCAACCTTTCCTTATTTTCTACACCAAGGGTGTTAATAATTCAGGGGTTAATAACAAGTCTACCTATGATCACAGATTTATTGGATGCCTGCTGTTTACATATCACATATTCCAGGTTGTGTTCAAGAAAGACTAGACTGAGACTCAGCAAAAGCCCCTGTAATTCCTCCCACTGCCAGCAATGCTTGTCTATCTTACAACAGCCCATGTGCTATTGTGAAAAATAATCTCTTTAAATGCTTGCAAAGCCTGATGCAGATCAGTAATCTTCTCCCTATCAATGGCCAGAGAAACAAGGGAAGGGCTAGTCTCTGAAATGCTTTTCAGATATAAATCTCCAACTGAGGAGAACCTCTCCCTCAGAGACGGTACACTGATTTGCCTCAAAACAAACAAACCTACATTTCTCTGAGTCTGTTTTCTACTTCCCAAAGATAACATAAACATATTCTGGAGAATAAAACAAAACGAAACTATATTGATGCAGCATGTCCCGTGTATGTGAGTGTCTATTAAGCACCATATAGGCACTGTAGGGTCACACATACACACAAAACAAGACTTGTCCTCTGACCTCACAGAGCTTACATTGTACTTGGGAACACACAGACCTGGATGAAACCTTTATAGGTCCTGACATGAAAAGATACGGTCCCTCCCACCTTTATACCGATCAAAATTTTAAAGATCCCAGCAAAGTGTAAAACACAGAACTGCATGCATGTAAAAATTCTAGATTTTCTGATTGCAAAATTCTGGATAAGCTGGTTGAATCAAAGCTGAACTTTTCTCATGTTTTTTTTGTGCCCCTGCTTTATTGATTAAAGTACGTGCTTCATCTGCCTACTAGTAATCCAGATGGGGGCCTTAACTACACATACCACAAGATGCAAGACTGATCATACCAGACAATATCATAAAGAAAAAAGGACATGATGGATCCTTATGTCACTCAGAGTTCTCAAGAGAAACAGAACTAGTAGATTATACATATATGCTATATGTAGTGTATTTATAGTACACATATATGTATATGTATATATACACACACATATGCATATGTATAGAAAGACAGAGAGTAGATTTTGTATATATGTGTGTATATATATATACACACATTTTCATATACATATGTATATGTATTTATGGAGAGAGACAGAGACAAAGAGAAAGGAAGATTTATTTCAAGGAATTGGCTTAAGGGATTCTAAGGGTAACTGGCAAGTCTGAAATCTGTAAGGCAAGTCAGCAGCAAATTGGAAACTCTCAGGCAGGGGCTGATGCTGCAGTCCACAGATGGAATTTTTTTCTTCCTCAGGGAAAACTTAGCTTTGCTCTAAAGGCCTTTCAACTCATTAGACAAAGCCCAGATTATCAAAGATAATCATTACTTAAAATCAATTTAGGTTGATGGTAATCACATCTACACAATACTTCCCCAGCAACACCTAGATT